ATTCAACAACTATCTGGATAAATTAAAATAAGAAAATCCACCACTTAAAAATCGTTTCCCACTTCGAAAATGGTGGTTTTCATTTATGGTTTACAAACCTAAATTACTAAAAATTGTTTTTTTAAATAAAAAATATAAAAATAATTATAGAGTGATGGTAATATTGGATGTCAAATCATATTAAATAAAATGCAATAATTGGCTACGATTAGGAACCTCAAGTGTACATTAATGGAAAGTGACTTCCAACTTCCTATTAACATAATATTTCATTACATGTTTATAACAACAAATAATTTTTATAAAAAAATAAATTTTGGCACATGATTTAATTTCTAAATAATAATATAAGAGAATTTGTATGACAAAATCGATCTCGTTGAAATTATATAACTTTCCTTAATTAGAAAAAAATGTTTTCGAATTAAAATCATACATCATCTTTACTATCTAAATTGAAAAAGGTCAGGTTTTCTTATAGAAAGGAAGAGATCGATGCCCAAATAAAAACTTGTTTAAAATAGTTTTTTAACAGAAAATAAGTATCTTTTTTGTTATAAAATAAATGTTTATATTACTTAGGGGCTGTTTACCCAAATGCTTAACCAGTAAGTATCTATCTATATGAGTCAATACTATAATTTATTTTGATAAGTAAGATTTTAGTACATCAAAACGTATTGAATGCAACAATTTACTGGGTAAGCGCTTACCTGGGTAAGAGTTGTAATTTTCACTTACCGGGTAAGACTCTTCATCTTTCTCATCGCTCTTACCCGGTAAGATTATTGACCCTGATCATGTTCATCCGATAAGGAAATTTATTTGGTAAACACTTACCAAGTAAGCATTTAATAAACGGCTCCTTAGTTTGTTTTAAAAATTGGTCACTTTCAAAAGTAAATGTGAACTTTCCCATGAGAAAATTTATCTCTCTGTAATTAAAGATAAAATTTATCCTTTAATATATCAAAAAAAAATGTAATAATTACATATTATTAAAATTATGTGTATTTTTCATTGTGTAAATTTACTTTGGACGAAGCAAATATGTGTTAGAAGTTGATAGAAGCATATTGAATTCTACGTTTTATTTAATCAATACATTTAACATGTTACATACACTCCTTCTCAAGGACTCATCATACTCAATGGGGTTTGCACCACCATCCGATGGTACAAGGATCGGCTCTGATACCATTTGTAACACCCCCAAAGCCCAAAGCTACAAACTAACCCAATAATTTCGTATCCAACTTGAAACAACAGTGAAAGTTATTGGTAGTCCACTATTTTGAACTTATAAGAAGCTAACAGTTCTCACTATATATCCCTGTGGAACGAACTGTTACAATCGTAACTCGGCTCACAATTTTCAAACGTGTCACATGAGTTGGAGCTACTGACAATGCATACCCGATTGTGTATATGTTGTACAACTCGCGTATTGTTCCGAATTCACTTTGGGTCCCAAAGTTGATTTATGAAGATATATAGAAGCTTAAATCGTATTTAGATCAAATATTGTGTTTTTCCAAAAGGAAAAGCATTAAAATATTTAATTAAAAAAGAGAGGGCAATAATTGTAAATTCATGTGTTTATGTTTGTAATCAAAGCATATAAGTAGTTCATAATTAAAATAAGAGAACATGAGTATTTGGTCCATTAATTAAACCACTTTTTCATTCGTTTTGACCAATCATTTTTTTTTTACAGATTTTCTTATTAAAAAAATCAGTTTCCAAAATAAATACTGTGTGCTTCCACATTTTGGAATTTCAGGAGTCAGTCGTTGATGTAATTCTCATAAATAAGGTAAAAACGAGCTTGTTCTAACATACATTTTAGTGTAAAATATGTCACGGCCCTACTATGTGAAGAAACATCACACGCTACCTTTATAAACTTAGAGTTTCATTTATCAGAATAAGTTGTTAACTTATTGAAAACATCGTCAAGTATTATTGATCTAATCTACAGTGAATCTATAACCAACTAATCTGTAATATTTTATGAAACATGTATCATCTTGACTTAACAGTATGAATAGGGCATGATGTTAGAATTTCACTAGAAGGTAATCTTTACGTGTATTCAGATATCATCTGAACTGTATCTATACTATATTATGAAGCATTTGACAAAAACTCTTAAAAACCATTTTTTATGCATAAAGTACTGTATATTGATGCATATTATTTAAAATTCAAGATTACAAGTAAATTATGCATAAATACAACTTATTAAAGTTTCATGTTTGAATTCGTGTAACTAACTGCGGATAAACATAATTAAATAAAGGATAAACATCTCATTTTAAAATATAATTAGGATAATTATCGAGTTCTAATAAAATAATTAATTATTATATTTATAAAAAAATTATATTATTAAATCAAATATAAATTACTTCGTTATTGAACCTAAATTAAAATTATAATAAAAAAATTGAATTAGAAAATTACACAAAAAAATAGGAATTTTGAATAGTTAATTTGATACTAATATCGATATATTTTTGTCAAATTTTTATGATATTTTCAAATTTATATTTTATTCAAAAAAAACATTATCGTTTTTTTCAAAATCACATAAGATCGTATTATAACATCAACTGAGACAAAAAATAAAATAAAATATTAAAATCAAGATGTATCTTACTACATTACACGAATATCCTTCTAGTGTTAAATAACTCTTTATACTTTTTAAGTATTTAAGATAAATGGGGGTGTGGATGAAAAGGAGGAAATTAAAATATGAAGTCCACATGCAAAGTACTTGCACCTAATCATCATATTTGATGAGCTTATCACCCCACAAATTTATATATATATTATTTACACCTAATTATAATTATTTTTTCTTAATTCTTAATTATAATGAAAATATTAGTATTACCACATTCTACATTTAGAGAAGATGATTTTGTTTTAACGATGTCATCGTTTCATTTTAATACAATTGTTTCCATATTTAAGCACGACTGGTTAAATGTAGCAAAAACGGTTTTATGCATGATGCAATTTAATTAAATTTGCAAGCATTTGTGCTCTGTGCATCTCATTTTTCATACACAGACCATCACATTTTTTTTCATCCTTAATTTAGAATCATGTAATTTTAAAAACCTGATATAATTCTGTAATCTTTTAATCAAATACAGTAATAATGAAAAGCTATTAATAAATCCAGTACTACTAACCATATAAGACCACAAGTTTTATTTTTCGTAATTTGTTCGGTCAAATCTTGTTTGAGAAGATTATGAGTGTTCAAATTATCATACATGGCACATGGCTTTAAGCAACCGATGTACATACTTGAAAAGATTAAAAGAACGATCAGTGAGTTGTTTGAAAACCACAATATTTAATTTCTTTTACAATTTTTTTTTGTAAATTTACCTATTTTTTTAATTAACCTGAATATCTAACCTGCTATGCGAGCCGACTAATCCCAGGGCGACCACATGCTTTGCAGATAGGCCAAAATCACCGCATTTGAACCTCTGTGGTCACAAGGGGATTTTTATTTCTAATTGGATTTGAACATGAGACCTTCTGGTACTTTTGACCTTTGGAGTCAAGCTCAAATCAATCAGGCAACACCCTTGTGATTCTATTTATCTATTATAACAATCATTACAAGATATTATGAAATTAAGGGGCTGTTTACCCAAATGCTTACTCAATAAGTGCTTACTAATACGAGTCAACACTATAATTTATTTTGATGTGTGAGATTTTAGTACATCAAAACGCATTGAATGCAACAATTTACCGGGTAAGCACTTACCTAGGTAAGAGTCGTCATCTTCACTTACCGGGTAAAACTTTTCATCTTTTTCATCGCTCTTACTCGGTAAGATTCTTGCCCTTGTCATATTCATCCAATGAGAAAATTTATCCGGTAAGCACTTACCAAGTAAGCGTTTAGGGGTTGTTTGTTTACTTGTTAATAGTTCCATTAAGAGATAGACTTTGAATCGTTATGAGGTGAATCTTGTTTGGCAAAAAAAGAGTCTGCTTCTTAATGGTTTCAAAACCCTCTAATTGATTTTGTATCTTAGGCCTCCCTTAACCATTCAGCGCCCTAATTTCATTGTAAACAGTTACCAAACAATGATATTTTATTTTGAACTATATCATGAGAGCGTCTTAATCATTCTGATCACTTAATCATTTTGCACCAAATCATTCAGCAACAGCCAGTAAACAGCCCCTAAGTGCAATGTACAAACTTTGTTAAAGTATTTAAAGATTTAATGATATATTATGTGTATTAAATAATGTATGAAATCAAATGGAGTGATGTTGGTTGTTGTTTTGTAACAAGGATGATTTAGGGGGAGGGTTTTAAGTTCTAATCATGTGCTTCATGAGATGAAAAGCAGAAAGAATGAGATTAATTATGGTTAAGCATTTTGTGGGGTCCTCAATTATTTGATACTCACTTTATTCCCATGACTACACTTGTAACTCCTCAATTATCCATTTTATACCATATATTAGCATGCATATTTTGTTTATTCTTTGCTTTTTATTTTTTAAAACCCAATTTTTTTTATTTAAATAAATCCAGTGACCAGTTTTTTATATGTATATTGCAATGCAGCCATTAATCTTTATGATAAAACAAATCAAAATCAACATTATTGGTTCATAATTACAAATTCTATTAATTTTGGTTGTTTTTGTTGATCCATCGTCTAATTGCAACACGTAGTAACTTCCACTGGCTTACAATATTAATTTAAAGAATTGAATACTTTTTTTGGTCCAGACTATGCCTAGACTAATCTCATCAGATTGTGATCGCCAGAAATCAACTATGATAAACTAAATGGCCACAATTGTTGTTATTACATTTGTGATGCTAAAAGGTTACAATGACAACTTGTTATCCAATTTACGATGCTAATGCAGCTTCATAAACATGTAAAAAAATAAGTTGGTTGATGTGGACGTGGTTTAAACGTGATCAAGGGTCCAGATCCGTTTTTAAGCTTCTCAACTTAACCTCAATTCTCACACGAACCTTTGTCCATCAAAATAATGTTGCAATACAGGCATACAGCAAATTAGGTTTACCGGATAAAATTTAGAATTTTACAGGTGACAGATGATCAACTGATTCTTTTTCTCACAAATCTTTGATTCATCCTGCAATCGTTAAGAATCCTAGAGGTGAACAGATCCATAAAACACTACTTCAGCAGGGCCCGTCATGTACACATGGTTGTCGTCCTCCCTCCATTCTATCACCAACGGCCCTCCAGGTAAATCAACCGTACAGTTCTGAGATATAAAGAACACGTAATGAAATCAAAAGCCCCACAAATCGAGAAAGGAAACACAAAATATAACTATTGTTCTTTCCTGTTACCCCTTGAAGCCCATAATGGGAATAAGGTGTCAATTTTCAGACATGAAGACATCAGCAGAAATTGATCAGATCATGTGCATCTGAATTCATTTTTAATTAGATATCCAAAACTTACCCTCTCAGAACGACCCTCGAGGATTGCTGCAACAGCTACCGCGCATGCTCCAGTTCCACAAGCCAACGTTGCTCCTAAATACAAGGTTTATTTATCCACGATTATACAACTAAAAGGAAATTCTCCACAACAACTACGTCACTCAGATTAAAATCAGCATATTTGTGCCTATAAACAAATTTTGTGTTTAAAGTAGAAGACTAACCAGCACCACGCTCCCAAACACGCATTTTTAGATGTGAGCGAGAGAACACTTGCACAAATTCTGCAAAAGCAAAACAAGATATAACAGGAGAAAGACATTGTTTAGTAGCATAAACAGAATTTACAATTTTCCACTTTAAAGTTTTTAAATTTCTCAAAGGCACTTGATTGAAGTTAACCTAAAACTAGTAAAGATGATAAATAAATTACTACATAAGGTAACTAAAGCCTGACCTGTGTTAGTTCGGGCAGGGAACAGCGCATGACGTTCAAATTTCGGACCAATGTCAGCCAAATTCAATTCATCAACCACCAAGTTCTATTCAGAAACCAGCACCAGTTACCCAAAATAATCAACAAAGTAGAGCATACAGAGAAAGAAGGTCACAATACATTGTTGGTGGTTTCTCATAGTGATCTGGGTTTATGTATATTTAATAACATAACATTACCCAGGGTATTTTAAGAACCAGGCCATCCCCAATTAAGACAGAACGAATTTACACCGTGTTCTTAATTTAGAAGACAATTGACACTTGTTTCAACCATTTATGACTTCTTTCTTTTGCTTTGCATCCAACTACCTATAGAAACAAAAAAATTGCTATACTGGAAAATAGATGCATCAAATTTGATCAATACCTCGCCTCCTTCTCTACCAAAAGTGATGCAGTGAGGATTTCCCATGCTGACGCACGTGACATTCCAGTTCACTCCATCTACTTCAATTTTTGCTTTCACAACAGATTGATCTTTATTTGCTGGTATTTTAGTGGGAACATCTGAGGCCTTCAGGACAGGCTCACCCATGTCAACTTTAACCTGAAGTAACAACAATGTTGAATCCACAAGATTAGGAGTGATTTAGCTAAAAGATGTTATAACCTTACTATTTGCTGATGTTTTACAAGATTGGGAGTGCTTTTGTTGGTTACTAGTTTATGATAGAAAGATGATATCAAACCCGAGAAAGAAACCAAAATCGTAAGACAAAGTAAAACAAGCCAAAATTACCTTCCCATCATCTTGTATCTCGGGTACAATGAGGCCAGCACCAGTATGTACAGTAAAACTGCAATTTCAAGAAAAAGAAACATAAATCAATTATCACATAGAGCTTTGTTAAGTGTTTATTGTGTTTGCTTTTTCGTGTTTTAGCTTGCATTTTCGCCCCTGTTTCGTCATTCTTGCATTGAATTTGCATGGTTTGTTTCTTGTGTCGACTCGTGATATGCTTTCATGGTTTTGGTTGATTTTTAGGTAATTTTGGGTGCTGGGTATGCAAGTTTTAATCAAAGAAACAAGATGCGGTTTAGTGTATTTGGTGTGATTCCAATTAAGCACATGTCACGATAACAAGACATAAACAGTGAGTTCCAGACATATATGGAAGAACCAAGTGTTGTCAGAAGTGCGTGAGGGTCTAAGCAAGCAAAACGGCAAAACATGTTCGTCGGTAGTATAATTTTGACAACTTTACCTCATTGATGGAGTATTTTGATCATATCTCGGTCATCTAAGCTCGAATTAGCAATTCAAGAGGCTGTGGAACAATTAATTTAAAAAAAAAAACTACAACTCTCATGTTTCCAGCTTGGCATGACCGGGCCACTTTCGGACCAAAGGCAAAATTCACACAGCCGTCCGCCCGTCCGAATGCCAGGCAGAAAATCTGCACAGTCGTGTAAAAAAGAATGATAGTATTGTAATTTGTTTGACCAGGAGTCCAGGACTTCTTGCTTTTTGGTGATATATTTAGACTTTTGGATCTAAGACAATGAAATCATCACACCGTACTTCAAGCTTTACCTTGCACCTTCCTTCCTTTCTCTTCTCTCCAGAATTGGGAACCTAGCTTTTGATTGACGGTCTCCCTTGATAATAGATGTGAATGTTGGTTGAGAATCATCATGACTAAATCCTAATGCTTATATCACTTTGAATTACCACAAAAGTGGGTATGATTAGTTATAGAAAGGCACTCGTATCGGAAGATTGTTGAACCCAATCAAATTGATGAGTTGGCATTGTTTTGAATTTGTTAAAAACAAGTCCTCCAAATTTTAAGCAGTCAACTCACTTTATCAATAAAAGTTCATGCTACTCTACTCAATAAGATACCAATCTGACCAAAGATTGTGGAACCTGATTCAACACTTAACCTTGTATGAATAAGGATTATTTTGTTAAAAAAGATTGACAGATAAAGGAAAGAGTGTGTGCAGTGTACAAGATCCTGAATAACGGTCAACTTGAAAATTTTATTGGACATTGCAACATCAAAAGAAGTGACAGCAGAAGTTGTCAAAGAAGGCTTTGCTTGAAATCAGGTTAAAAAAACAAGCAGATGGCTAGTTAATAATAATACGGAATCTTGAATCAGAAGGAGAGTTTGTGTAACTAATTTAAGTAAGAGGTTTAGCTGGTTTGCTAGGCATCCTATATAGAGGAAGTTATGTACTAAGAGAGTGAGTCCTACACTTTTGAAGTTTCTAATAGTGAATTAATTCATTTCTCGGTATTTGCCCTACAAATGTAGGTGTACTACACCGAACTATGTTGTCAACTTTTGTGTTCACATTTGCAGTCATCGTTGTGTTAGCTTTCTTTGTAAAGAATTGTGTTGCAACACCCCATTCTTATAGTTATACGTACAATTATTTTGCAAGCCACATGTAACATACTTACATAAGAGAAGTTAAAGACACAGAACAAAATGCCAAAGCTTAGCATGGTACAAGAAACTCCTTAAGGATAACACATTTAAATGAAATATACCTTTGCCTTCCATGTGAGTTATTGAGATCTGCAATAAATTTTGCAAGGCAACGAACTCCATTACCGCACATCTGAGAGAGAGAGAGAACATAAAATGAGACAGATACTACAGTTTCCAGCATATGCTCAATGGGTCATTTAGTGGAGAAACTAAAAAGAAAGTTTCAAAATGACTAATGAATGAAGCACATATCACAGCATAGAAGGGGTTTTCTTTGATCTGTTATTTTCCCTCTATGATATTAAAGCACATATCACAATATACCAAGTAAAGCGTTTGTCTGTTACTTCCTTTTCCTCTTCCCATTTCATTATCAAGCAGAACGACGTCATCGCTGACTCACCAAACACAGCAAACATCATCCAAACAAAATCAACCTGAATTCCTCCATTGTCCCCACAAACACGAGTAATCCTTCCATCCAGTTTAATCCAGCCTCACAGCTCCCAATCAAACTCACTGGCATAGAAAGCACAAGTCTCGACTATAATGCATGAGTTCAAACAAGCACCTTGTGTTTGGTATAGTAAGCTCAAACAGTTTCTTTGAGACGGTCTTATCGATTCACCATTCACCAAAACTCATTCTGGTAGCTCACTCTTTGTCAACCATCATTCAAGAATTGTTCTATGTCTCATTGTTTATGTAGATGCATCATCATTACCACATAAATAATAAAACCAAATTAAAAAAAACCACACTGGATAGCTTGCTAAAAGCAAAAAACACATTTCATTTCAACAGACCCAATCAATCTTTCCCCAGTTGCACACAAGTAAACCAATTAGAATGACGGCTAATTACTTTCTAACATGATGATAAACATATGCATTTGACCATTTGTCAAACAGCGAACATAGAAATTGACGGGCCTGAACCAGCGACAGGGAGCAGAACTGGTTCAATATCCTAACAGACAATATTACACCATCAACATGTCAAGAATACGAGTGTTCGTGCAAACTTAGTTCAGAAAAGAAATTACCTCAGGCTCACTACCATCAGAATTAAAAATTCTCATGGTATAATCAGTCCCATTTGATCCAGGCATAGCAAAGATTATTCCATCCCCTCCAATGCCAAAGTTCCTATCACATAACTTTACAGCTTGCTCTGGAGTAACTTTGGGCTCCATCGAATCAAGATTGTTAACCTATTCAATACGAACTTTGTATAAACGATATATCACAGTCATTCCAAGCACTAGCACTAAATTCAAAACTCAACCACTATAAGCAAAATAACATAATGAAATCCTACTGTACTTTGAATAATGAATGCTATATGCACACTAAGGGGCCGTTTACCAAACCCTAACCGGGTAACCACTTACCGGCAAGAGCTACCTTATTGGGTAAGATTCCCGGCCATCAAAATGGATCGCTGGTGAACGAACGTCTTTTACCCGGTAAGCGCTCACTTGCTCTTGGTCCATGTTATGCCTCCTACCAGGTAAGACCCTAGGTCCTTTGTCATGTTCACCCTCCGGCAAGTGACACCAAGTGAGTGCTTATCCGGTATTATTTGGTAAACGGCGCCGTAAGTCAAGAACGAAACATCACTGAAACGTCGGAATTTCTATCAAAAATTTCACTAACAGTAACATTGTCCGGTGCTTCCGTAAATTTTATGTTAAACTAAAGGTACGAAGAAATTTCTTGGTTACCATGATAAAGTCGTTACCGAGGCCATGATACTTGACAAAATGAAGAACTCCGCTTTCTCTCCGATCGAGGAACGCCGTCTGAGAGAGATTTTCCTGAGCTGCAACACTCATTGCCGAGACAGAGAATCCGAACTTAGGGTTTCGGATAAGAGAAGTAGTCGTCAATTTGGTGAAAGAAGAGGATTTGAATGGATTGATGAGAGAAAAAGAGGACGGACGAGTGATAGAATGTGATCGGAGATTTGAAGATGTGATAGGGGCAGAAACGGTTGCGGCGATGGCCATGATGCCAGTAGAGACGGTGGTTTTTTGCGGAGGCGATCAAGCAGAACGGGAAGGATGACGTTGACCGTTTTAATGTCGGAAAGGATTTTAATCAGAAGTCTTAATTGACTTTTTTGTTAACAGGAAAGCCGTCCCATTTTGATACAGGCCGATCAAAGATACCTTTTTGGGCCCAAACAAATTCAACAAGCCCACTTACCCAATTATTCCTCTCTCCAAATAAATTCATTAATTTTCTTTTCTGATTCAAAAATTCATCTAAACAAATAATCGGTTATCTGGCTTTACGCTTAAACCAATACGTATAAATATAAAGCAGGTGCTTTCACGACTCAGTAATTTGAAATTTCATCCAAATAAAAGATCGATTATTTGGCTTTTCGCTTAAACCGATACGTATAAATATAAGACGGGCGCTTTCACGACTCGGTCATCCAATATTTTATTCAAATAAAAGAACGATTATTTGGCTTTTCACTTAATCTATTACGTATAAATATAAGCAGGTGTTTTCATGACTCAGTTATTAAAGAACTTATCCAAATAAATGAACGATTATTTGTTGGCTTTTCACTGAAACCAATACGTCTAAACATAAAGTAGGTGATTTAACAGAAGATCTTGTTTGTAGAACGTTCATAAATGAATACGTTATATTATGCCAAAATTCTTCATCCAAATTACTTTTTCGACCTGGTATAATTATTTTAATCTGAAGAGTCTAAACACAGTACATGAGACGGTATTATTTAAATTTTGTGCAAAAAAAACATAAATTAATTTCACCTTAGTTCAGAATTACATAACCCCCTACCCCTAACAAGCATAATTGCATATACATGGCTTTTTTAATATTATATTTAAATTACCCATATGTGATATTGATTGCTTGTATCAAATATATAACTTTGTATAGTGTCGTCGGACTGTTTTCAAGCATATAAATCATACTCCAATAATAATATATAGATACAAAAAAGGTACAGTCAATTAAAAAAAATAATGGTTTGTAATGATTAATTATAGGACCATTAACATAAAAAATCTTATCAAAAACCTATTCATAAACCAGTTATCTCATAACATAATATTGTACAACATGCTAATACATCATAATCAGGACAAAGAGGTTTCTATTTAGTTGAAACGATACCATCATACCCCAATAGTGATGAAGTCATCCCCTTGCAACACGTCCTTTGTTTAGATGCTAATGTATAATAAAATAATAAAGATCCGACTTTATTTTCCATACTTTCGTAACAAATCTTCGTTTCAACAGTTTATTTGATCTGTTATCCCTATGGTCACGGGCCGTGTTTTGCTATAAATATGTTGATAAGCTACATAAAAAAATATGAATTATATATATAAATATATTGAAGTAAGATTTAACGAATCTATGTGATCACGACTAAATGGTGTTCTTGGGGAAAGGGGGCTTTTTTGTCAACAAATGCTTGTTTTCTATCACCTAGTTGGGGACACCATAATATGTTTAGGACTGTAGCTTATTGTCTTATTTGTTAACTAAAATATACCATACAATGCAGCGAGATATATATTCATTTTAATGTTTTATTTTGTTTTGTTTTGTTTTTTGTTTTTGTTGATATAATACGGTTTATGTAGTTTTTAGAAAGATAATGTTTTTACTTTTAAATAAAAATAAATTTGAAGACATCGTAATTTTTTTTTTAAATATATCGATATTAATATCAAATTAATTATTTAAAAGTTCTTGTTTTTTATATAATTTATGTAATTCATTTTTTATTATATTTAATTTAGATTAAATAGTGAAGTAATTTTTTTTTAGCTTAACAATAATTTTTTTTAAAGATAATGGTTTTGTTAGAACTCGATAATTATCCTAATTATATTTTAAATTTTTTATACTTTAAAATGAGATGTTTATCATACATGTGATTATGTTTTTCCGCAGTTAGTTACACGAATTCAAACATGAAGCTTTAATAAGTTGTATTCATGCATACTTTACTTGTAATTTTGAATTTTAAGTAATATGCATCAATATACAGTACTTCATGCATAAAAAATGATTTTTAAAAGTTTTTGTCAAATGCTTTATAATATTGTATAGATATCATAATCCAAATTTTGGGTTTTTAAATTAATCTTACGTAATAAATGACATTTTGTATTTTGCAACGTACATGGTTTTTAGCAAAAATTGTTGTGTGGTTTTTATTATTTTTGTTAAACTCGTTTTCTTTAGATTTTGGGGGTCGTTTTATCAAATGTTTATTGGTGTCACTTAACTTACTAGGTAAGTATAATAAAGACTGAAAAATGTTGCCCAATAAGTAAGGGAGAACACTTACCTTGGTGAGAGACAGCTTACCAACAATTCATTTTGATGGTCAAAAATGTTATATGATTAGGTAAGTGAAGGTGGTGAATATTACTGATAAATGCGTACCCAGTAAACATTTTGTAAACGACCCTTATTGAACTTGTTTTTTATGTTAGTAAGAAAGATTTTACCATATATACGTAGATATACAGACATGTGTGCATATGTATTAGTCGTAAGGTTTACGGTAAAAAGATAAATTTAAAAATAAATAAAAAGGAACAGAAGAATCAATTTGAACTATTTATTTATTTTAATCTGCCGATTATTAATAATAAGAATAGTTACATTTTGTCAAAATTAAATCAATGATTAATAAAGACAATTATGCTTAAAAATAAACCATTTATTTTTTAAATTCAACGATTGATTGATGCAAATTCGTTTATTTGCTTATTTGAAATAACTTATACTTTTCTACAAAAGCACTTATTAACTTATTATAAGTCAGAAAGGGTTTAATTTTTTCAAAAACTTCTTATTACCGGTTTGACACCGGCATAAGTTGTTTATCCAAACACTCAAAAGTACTTATTACCGATGTTACACCAAAATAAATCAATAAATTATTTTTATAAGCAATCTCAAGCACCCTCAGTTTACTTTCGTATACACCCCTCTTGGTCATAAACCTATCTTTTTATCTACCACAATTTTGCCTTTTCTAAGTCAAGATTATTCCGTTAAAGACACATCTTCCTAAACAAGCCCCTTTAATCCTATTATTTATCTTTTTTGATAATAAATGGTTGATTGGTCATGCTTTTATTGGTTTGAGCCATCTTTACTTCACTTTTTTTATATAACTATTATTAAATTAATAATTAATTATAAAATTTGATGAAACCTAACTTGATTTGATAAATGACATATATTATAAAATATCAGATAGTAGTCAAAACCATAAAGATATGTAATTACGACGGTATTTTATTTCAACACATGTTTCGGGTTTACCTTGTGTGAAAAGAGTTGGAGTTTTCGTAAAAAGGTATCTGGTTCAAACCAAACACTGTCCACCTTGTCCTACAACAACGTGAGTTACCTCCCTATACTGGTTTTGGGACCAGTGCGGTGAAGATAATTTAAAGTATGACAACTTCGATAGTTCTCCATTACATGCTCGTGGTTTCATATTTACTTTATGTGATTAACGTTCTATAACAAGACAATCTCAATCTTCTTTGGCCCCATGTCAAAAGTTTATGTACCATACTTGTTATAGTCAGCAATCAACCCCACTTTGAATTTCGAATTTATATTTATGATGTTAGATGCACATATTAACATCTTTCACAAAAAATGTCCCTACAATATTTAAGTGTCTCAAGTATATTTATAGTATATAGTTTTTCCCCCTCCGTATACGTGTATTTAAAAAAAGCCAGAGAAGAACCATATGCATTAAATAAGGTGTAATATTATCTTTTAATTATTAACGAACATATTGAATGTTTTTAAGACCGTATTTAGTACTATGATGAATCGCCTTACCTTAATTTGGACATCCATTGAGTGCTAAGTGGGACCTACCGAACATCAAATAAACTACACTGGTTTTTAAAAGGGTTTCAAAAGATGATTCATTTAAATATGATGTTTTAAACGTTCAATTAATTGTTAACCATTTTTTTTTTTCCAAATTACACATCTAATATCTTGTTACACAAAACTAAAACGAGTTTGTCAAATATAAAATATAATACTGATAATCATAGATACTTGCTATATTAGTCTAAAGTTGTGGGACATGCATCTGGCCTATTTTCGGTTTAAGGAATGTTGTCTTTTAGTTGATGATTGTACCATTGATTCTTCATGATTTTGTTTCATGACATCTTTTCTTTTATTAAACAGAGGCTTTTTGGTTGCTTCAGATTATCCTGACAAGTGATTGTTTGATAACCGTAATGTTTCGTCTTAACAACATATTGTAACACTTTTATATAAGATATACAGTTATTAGGACTTCGGATCACGTGAGATCAACCTGTTTTCGCGAGACCCATGAAACCACTTTTTTACGCTACCATCTTTAGTTAACACGAAACCTTAACTTGTCAACAAAACCGAAAAGATAAAAGACAATATGCATTTTAATTAAGTTGGCAAAAACAATACGGTTTATTTTGTTATACAATGAAAAACTCCAGTATAAAAATGTTGATTATATTGCGTGTTGTTCGTGTTCTTTTAACGTTTTGTTCAGTTTAAATATATATAATAACAGTCTTTTAAGTATATAGAATTTAACGGTACAATATTTATAAAAAAACTTGAGTTATAAAATTGAAAAAGTAGACAATTTTCAAAGTAAAATTTGTCAATATGCTAAATTACCAAACTTTGGGTGACCAAATCCATGAATTTGGTTACATGTTTTCTTGTTGTTGTCCATATGCTTGGGTTTGTAGAAAATCTCTGTTATTTTAATTAACTATCAACTGAGTCATATGGTCTCCTTTTTAATTACCTGTTTAAAAAATTAAATGGTTAATTAATATAATATAAAGTAGCATAGACTTTTTATAAACTACCAAAATATTACCTGCGAGTCGAGTGTGTCTACGTTGATTATTGTTTTAGTTTATCCCTAATTAATTATTGCAAAACAGGTGGTCGTCCTGTGATTAATCGGCTTGCATAGCGAGTTAAATATTCAGGTTAATAAAAAAAAAAATAAGTGCTTACTTTCGAAATTAAAAGTCTATTTTTTCATTTACCGTTACAATATTGAAGATTTTTTATTATTTATTATTAGGGGTAAAGCTGTTCTTTTGTTAATTAAAAAGTAGTAATTACAGATTTATAAAACTTCGTTTATTTTTCGTTATGAATATTTGGGACGGAAGAAGTAATATATCTTTGATAATTTATTCAATTAACGATATGCTTAGATCGATTGAAACGAGACGTGTAATTACAAATGAAAACATATGTGTTTGCATCGACGTGCTTTTGGGTTTTATTTACATAAACGTGTGAGAAAATTTTAATATTGAAAGTACAAGATGAATAATATAACACTTTTTTTTTTGTCGACATCAAAGGTACAAAAAAGTAATTGATGACGTGTAATTGTCTAAATTAACATCGAAGCGGTACATTTTGTATTAATATTGTTAATGTACTTACATATTTTTTTTATTGTTGGTTACACGTTATGTTAGTTATTATTGTTTTTGAAATACTTATTATAACAAACTCGGGTTTATAAGGACACCAAAAATGTACGAATGTTATAATAGACTACTTTATATGACTAAACATTGGTGTATCGTATATAGATGTGTTATGATAAGTTTATATGATTCTTTTAGATGTCTTAAAACGGTTTTTTGAACACCTTCGAAACAAAGTGTCCTATTGATCTTCTTACAAGATATTATATGAAAAAGTGTCGTATTAAACAAACGTCCTATAAAAATATGCATTTACATGACACGTATTAAAATTGTCATATAAAAAAAATAAAATGACACTTTGTTACGAAAGAGTCTTAAAAGGCTTATTAAAACATCCAGAAGCGTTATATGAAAACTTATCACAATATAACATACAAATGTTTGGTCGTATAAGTTTAAGTAGTATAAAAAAAAGTCTATAATTAGATTTGACAATTTAATTTGGCAATTAATCAGGGCTTTGTGCTTCAAAATATCTGTTGGATATTTTGTTTCGTGTTATTGGATTTAATGACCAATACTTGTGAACCAATTTAAGTCACGAAAGAAGGCAATTGTTTGAGGATCACAACTCGCACAACTTGAAGAGAAAATTCAATACAAACAACGACAAAATAAATAAATATTTTATGCTAAAAATAAAATACAAAAAAGTCGTATCATATCATATCATTTGTATTCATGTTTTCGAGCATGTGATGTAACTATTCTAGTTTATATATTGGTTGTATTAATAAATAATAAATTTTACTTTGATAAATAAAATAAAGATTTAAAATTCCGTTCTATATCCAACTTTTGTAATCATTTGTTTGTCTCGTTCATGATGGCATAAGCTTCAACGCTCGTGTGTTTACTTTGCCATTGCTCAAGATATGATGTTCTTGAGAAAATGCCTACAAAAGCTTGGTTGATCTAACATTTTCGATCAGGATGATCTTCTTAAATGTAAATATTTTAATTTTTTTATAAACTACAACATGAAACTTTTATTTAAAAACTGGAAAAAAGAGACTGTTTACAAAGCACATGGTGTACCTGAGGTCATTATGAGCAAAGGCACAAACTAACTCGCATTGGTTCGATACACTCTTTTAAAGTCATTGTCGTTTTTTATAGCTATTATCTGCAAGGTCTTATGAGATGGGTCAATATGCATACAAAATAATAATCCATTGTTGCAATACCCAAATGTCAATTTAAAGCGATCAAATACCAGTTTTATAATTCACTATTGTTTTGGGAACGGATATTTTTGTACCACATGGTCCTCTCAATTTTGGGTAGTATCAGTTACCATCGAAACAGGTAACGTTTGTTCATACACCACATGAGATGTCATTTTCTTATAATTATTTTAGCAACCACCACAATGGTCTTCCCCATTTTGTGCAAACTAAAATAATCTATATTTAATAAATGATTAATAATCTCAAAAAATAACTTGTAATGTACTTTAAAATTACTGGAGCCTACTTCGACCTTATCTAGATATATAGAAACCAGTCGATGGGAAGTGACATAAATACAAATTTACATAAATTTGAGCATTTATGAATTAGCCTAGGTCTATTTTTGTTGGGTCAAGAGAATGGAACAACCGATAAGTTATTAAAGACATTATCTTTTTTGAGTTTGTAAGAAATTGGACCACTTTTTCTGATTGATGTGTTATTTTCATTAAGAGAGGGGCCATTTTTATCATATTTTTGTATTTCTGTTAGTTACATATTTATATTTTTGTATTGATAATACTGATTGAATTTACATGCTTTAAAGTACACGTATGATAATATATAACTACGCGCACCATAAATTTTGCAGAGTGGTTACTTGTATAATGGAAATGGCAAAAACACATGTTCCTGGCTTCTTGCTGTCAATGACAACCGTCTTCTACTGTATCTAATTGATTTAAGTATTTGATACTCAAGTTGTCAAATTAGGGACTAATAATCCGTAAATACTAGCATGCGTCATGAATTTATTGTGCTTATGTCAATAGGGTAGAGATTAGTTTTTTTTATTAACCCTAATATTCAGCCAGCTATGTGAAACAACTAATCTCAAGATTGTCACCCGCTTCGTAGGTAGCTCAAAGTCACCGCATTTGAACTTCCGTGGTCACAAGAGAATTTTTATTTCTTCTTGGCTTCGAACCTGAAACATTCAGACACTCTTGACATTTAGAGCCCAATATCAAACTAATCAGACATCACCCTTGTGATTGAGATTAATATTTACTATTAATCTAGTAACTCTAATATATTGCAATAAAAAACCAAATAAATAAATCATATAACCAATATTAATACTGCATTCAATCATATAACTGTATGACATGGTATGAGTCAATCATTGACCAAGTCGTTCAACTAACTTATTGAATCAACATACCAACTCGTGGAGCAAATAATGATTGCAAACCTAATTACGCCTAACCACATTGACCAAGATGTTCTAAAATTATAATACCATCTCTCTTTCAATGCTTATTCAATAAACCTTAACAACATATTTCAAGAAAAAGAAAACGTAATTTTATTATTAATGAGTTTGAATTGCTATTTTTTATAGGAGAAAAAGACAAAATGTGATAATGTAAGATCCATATATTATATGATTGAAATCTTGAAATATGTTTTTATTTAAAAATATTATTGTTATGCTTAATTTTTTCTCTTCTCATTTTTGTTTGAAG